AATTATTGTGAATACAAAAAATTATTTATAGCTTATTTATGTGATTATCTGATATGCAAAATGCATCTAGGATTCCCTTTAATTAAAGTAGACATTCATAATTTACAAATTCATTCTGGTTTCAAGATGAATGTTTTGATTTGAAGTTATAAATTCTTAATCTAAAAACAAGGATAATAAATTGATTGAATGATGGGATCTGGGTGAAAAGTGTTAAATATGCTTTGATCACACTACTCCTGCCACTCTCTAATGTACTGCTAATTTCAAAACTTTATATGGGATAAAGTGATCTAATTTGGGCCATACCCAGTGAAGCAATTTTGTTGGAGACGTTTAGCAATGAATTTCAGTTTACTGATTGTACAACTAATCGGGAGAAAGAAGTTGTTCTTTAATGTATTATACACTTACTTAGACATATAGAAATTTATAATACCAGACCATGGAAACACACCATTCAGATCATAAAATCTCCACTGATTCATTTTACTCTGCATTACCCATTTACAGTAATCCCACTGACCTCCTGGGCTTAAAACTTTTTTTTCTTCTCTAATGCACCTTTATTCCGTGCCGGTGAAAATTGGCAGAATTTGGAATGGGGTCAAGAATCACAAAACTGAGTCCTGTCTGCCATTTTTAAAGGATTCCTGAGTCAGTATTAAATGTAAACCCTTGGTTTTTGACTCTTCCAAGTCTCTTTCAAACAGTGTTAAATTCTATCATGATATCACCACATCCAACTTTTCTTCCAAGCCACATTTTACCACTGTTGCAGAGTTTAAGCACCTGAAACACCCTTCAGAGTAACAATGTGCTACACCTTCTGTATTGAGTTAGTCAAAAAGATAGCTTATCACCACATTGTCAAGGGCAATTAGGATGGGCAATAAATTCTGGATTAACCAGTAACACCTATATCCCATTACAATATTTTTAAAAATTTTGTATATAACTTGGTGACATTAGTGACTAGAAGGAGTGGCATGCATTCAAAGCCGACCTCTTCACTTCACAAAGATGAATAAAGGTGAGGAAGTCCACGTAACTCATCCAGCATATCTTTTCAAGGAAACCCACAGTCTTCCTCAACAGTGTCTCCACTATAGCCGGGAAGTCCTTGCATGGGTTAATCACTGTTTTCAAACGCTGTCTGATATTAGTGCTGAATCTGCATTTTCCTGGTTTGTATGTATGTCTTCAATTACATTTTAGCATGAAGTAGTGCTCGGGATTAATGTTTTCTATTCCACTTAATATCATGCTTTATAAAAAGCCCCCTTAAAGTCTGAGTTTTTCAAACCCTTTCTGACAACTTAGTTCTATCATGTGACAGATGAGAAAGTTTCCACAGCTTGAATGTTCCCCATGTGTCTCACTGACTAGAAGAGTGCAGTACTCTTGGTATAACCTGTATGGCTCCTGCACAACTTTAATGGGGTTTTGGCAGTTAGACTGAGTGGCAACACATTATTGATCATATATTTTTCTTACCTTAAATGTTTTACTTATGTACTTGCTCTTCAGAAATCCTGGGAGGGAAGATTTACGTGGGTCTGCAACCTGGACTTCTTGCGTAAAGCAAATATCAGAAAATTATGCTCATCTGAACATTTGACTTTCAAGGAACCTGATTTCCTTTTTGAAAGACAATTCATAGAGTTTCGTTGTAAGTGTGCGACGAAACCCATCCAGTTTTCTGATATTTGCTGTGATGATATAATCAATGCACCTGGGTGTAGGCACTGGAAGCTGTCCCCCCCCAATAAATTATATCATAAATACAAAAATGAGTAGCAAAATAGGAAGTTGTGGAATTTTGCATTCAATGGACTGAAAATCACAGTTTCCAAAATAGGCATGTAATATCCATCAGCATGTATATTACTGCCTATCCGATAGCAATGTTAAAAAAATTTGTTCCATTGTCTCCAACCCATTCAAATTCATGTAAGCCAAGATTTTTAGCATTGATCTTCTCTGGAGTAAGAGCCAGATCACAAATGTTCCGAGTGTCAAAGAGTTGGGGAATTGCAAAACAGCCTGTGATCCTACTCATAACTGCTAACCAACAGACCCAGCTGGAAATGCATGTCTGTGCAAGAACAGAAATAAATATCCAACCACTGTCTGGGATTGTACATTACTTATAAGCAATTGCCACTTGAGGGAAGCATGCAAGGGTGGTGATCGTGGTTGAGGAATTGTATCTCAGGAAAATATCATTGCCTTCAAAAGAGGAGCGGAAAATATTAACGTGGAAAGTAAGGTAAATAAGAATAGCCTCCCCATTTAAAAAAAAACATGTACTTGTCATTTGTGTGAGAATAAAAAAGCAGGAAGATGTATTCTTTATATAGGTATGAGATGAAATTGTTCGATCAAAATGACAGAATCAGCCTTTGAAGAACTCTTTCGTACCATGTATATTGATGAAATTATCCTTGACCGGAACAATGACTTGCAGCTTCGGCGCACCACCCCATGAAACCATTCTTCTTTTCCTCAGACTCCTGACTTGTTCTTGAAACACACCCTGTACCCCAAGGATGCTATTGATCAAAGTGCCTCATGCTCCAAACCTTAATTTAGAGTGTAATTGGTTTTTAAAAAATCTGACAGTCAGTATTTCATTACTAATTTATGGATGTGGATTATGTTTTTAGATTCACATCATAGATTTTGATGATGAAAATAACATTATTAACAAGAACGTCCTTCTGCATCAAGTAGGAGAAATATGGCACATGAGTACCAGCCCTGCAGATAAAGGAGTTCTTGCAACTTGCTACAATAAAAGTAAGTGTAGTAGATTGATTTGTCCTTTGATTTGTTGGATGAAATAAGCTACATTTTAAAATGGGGGAGTGTGTTCCGCACCTTTTGCATTTCATAAACATGGACGTTCAATAAATGAAACAAAACTGAAGAGATTATGCACTATTTTCCTTTGCTATATTTTGTAAGTTGTTTCTGTCAAGTTCTTTATTTTATAAGTTTAGCTCACTTAGTTTTTAAATTTTTGCTTAACATTTCTAATGCCTCACTCATAAATGGATATTCAGAAAACTATCGTTTTCTATAAAAAACTTTATATTGAATCGGAAGCAATTCTGCTTTCCAAGAGGAGATGATAAATTTAAAGTTATTTCAAATGAAGCACACTTACAGAAAGCCACAACGCTGCTTGCAATCTTGTCATGTCTTAAGCTGTGATTGCAGTGTTTGAGCTTCAAGGGTTGTACAGGCAGAGTTGTGACCAATATGTTAATTAATAATGAAGTGTAAAACATCCAGTGACCGAACGTTGACATTCAAGTGATGGCTAGTTACCAGAATTTAAATGAGTGCAGTAACAGCATGCAACTTACCTCTTTTAAACTTTATCTTTAAAGAAATAAGGAGCTTAGCAACTGCGGAGCTTCCTCATGTGCTCCCGATATTGCAGATAGTGCCAAATTTAATTGCCATTGAAGTTTAAGTTTTATTCTTCCTCATTTGCCCGGTGAAGATTGAAAATTCATCACCTCAAACTCTGTAGCCTGCAGCCATTAACTTGCAGGCTGCCATTCCATGTTAGATTGTGCTGGTATGCCAGTTAACTGTAATGTTTTGACATACATCTTCAGCAGGTTGTAGAGATAAAGTGTAGTGTCATTTTGAAGCATGAAGTTACAATGTTTTGTGCCATTGAATCAAATTAAAGAATTGGAGAATGTTCCAGAGATAGGACACTGTAAAGAGATTTGAATATGTGTATATGTAAATACTTTACATTGGAGGCCTTGGAGTCAGTTTCTGGCAGCAAGTATACAAAAAATAGACTCATGAGATTTACTGTGTAATAGAACACCAGTAGTTGAGCTTAGAATGAGCTATAGCAAGGAGGAACAGAAGCTGTCCAGATTCACTTTAGAATAGTCATGTCATTGATTAAACTTTTGTTGATGAGCTAAATCAAGGGCAGCATGAGATAATGTTTCACTGATGTAAATATATTGTCTTTGTGATTGAAGGTAAGGGATTAAATAGGACTGACATTACAAACAATCTGGGTTATCCTGAGTCAGTGATTGTGAAGATAATAACATCACCAGCAAGAGCACAGAGTTTGTAGTCGCCAAAGACCATTGCTTTCTTTGTTTTGAATGTTTCATTGTAGCAAAATGCGGCTGTTGCAAAACTGGATATTGGGCAAAACATCAACAACACTAAGACTGTAGAGGGACTGAGAGATTATGGAGAGGCATTACGGGATGTCATCAGCCTAGAAACTAACTAGTGACTGTGGCTGGTATCATCAAAGTGCCGCATGTTGATGAGGATGAGGGAGATGAAGGATAAATCCATGGAGATCTCGGAGACATAGAGCACCATGTCTATGCCAGAAAACATCAAACTAATCACATTTACCTGGACTTGGTCCATTTCCTCCAATGCCCTGACATTTTAAACGCTCATCCAGGTGTTTCTTAAGTGTTGCAAGAGTACCTCCCTCTCAGGCAGTATATTCCATATTTCTTCCACACTCTCAGATCCTGTCTAAACCGCTAGCACCTCATCTTAAACTTCTGCCATCTGGTCTTAGACAAGTCTGCCATGGGGAACAGATTCTCACTATCAACCTGCCTATGCAGCTCATAATTTTGTATTGCTCAATCAGATGCCCTATCCTCTTCTCCAAGGAAAACAAATCCAGCTTATCCAGTCTTTGCTCATAAGTGGCACTGTTCATCTCAGGCAACATCCTGGCAAATCTCCTCTGTGCCCTGTCCACTTCAATCACATCCTTCTGATAGTGTGGCAACCGGGACTACACACAGTGTTCCATCTGTGGTCTAACCCATGTTTTATAAAGTTGTAATAAGGCTTCCTTCAAAATGTAGCCCAAAACCACATCCTCCTCACTATCAACAACAACACTGGTTTCTGTGTCATTTGCAAACATACTAATTATACCTTACAATAATGATTTGGACATGAATGTACATAACAAACAGCAAGGGTCCCAGCACCAATCCTGTGGTACACTGCTGGTCACAGGCTTCCAATTGCAAAAACAACCCTCCACCATCATCATTGCCTCCTACTTGCAAGCCAATTTTGGATCCAGTTTGACAACTTGTACTGAATTCCATGGGCTCTTACCTTTTGGACCAATCTTCCAGAAGGGACCATATCAAATACCTGACTGAAGTCCACATAAACCACATCAATTGAACTATCCTCATCAGTATATTTAGACACCTTTTCAAATAACTCAATTAAATCAGTCAGACAAGAACTCCCTCTAACAAATCTGTGCTGATCGTCTCTGATCAATCCCTGCCTTTCCAAATGTTGATTAATCCTATCCCTCAGAAATTTTTCCGCTCGTTTTCATACCACCATTGTCAGACTAACTGATCTTTAATTATCTAGTATGTCTGTGCTGCTCTCCTTAAACAAAGGAACCACGTTAGCTATCCTCCAATCATCTGGCACTTCACCTGTGGCCAGTGAAGTATTAACTATCTCCGCCAGGGCCCCAGCAATCTTGCTTCCCAAAGCAGTCGGGATACATCCCATCTGGCCCTGGGGATTTATGCACCTTTATGTCAATCACAACATCTAGTACCTCCTCCTACTAATCTTAACATGTTCTAGAATCTCACCATTCCAACTGAAATCTGCAGCTACAATGTCCTTCCGTATTCACAGATGAGGAATATTAATTTACGACCTCACCCGCATCGTCTGGTTCCAGTCACAGTTTGGCACTTTGGTCTCGAATAGGCCCCACACTTACCCTGGAAATCCTCTTACTCTTAATATACTTATACCTCTCCTGAGGTAATGGTGTGGAGACAGGAAAAGAAATCATAGCTTGAGCTGAATTGATTAGAATTGCACAGGTAAAAGAGGAACTATGTATAAGCACTTGGCTGGACAGCAGAGGAGAGGTATTGGAAGAAGATGGTACATCTCAAGGGCTGTAAAGAGTTAAGTGGATATAATACAGCATGGTCACAGACACAGAGCTGTCATGCATGACTTTGTTCGGGGCTGTTTCAGTGCTCTGGTAAGATGGAAACTTGTATGAGGAGGCTTAAACATGGTAATGGCTTCATTAGGCACTAATTTTGAAGGCAGTAAATCCCTTCAAGGGCTTGGGAGTCAAAAGAAAGTTTGGAATAGGTTAGTAATTTGCAAAGATAACATCAAAACTTTGAACACCTGCTAGAATTAGTCAATAATTGTGATGGACAGTTGAGAAATAATCAGAGACTGAAGTATTTGCAACTGCATTCAGCCAGATCCTTCCCTTCTCCTCCTGAGAGCCCATCACTTTCACAGATGCTGGTCTTCAGCCAATTTGATTCACTTCACATGAAGCAAAGAAACAACTGCATGCACAGGACAGACAGCAAAAAGTTTGGGTCTCAATAAAATTCTGGTGTTGGTTCTGAAGACCTGTGCTCCAGAAGTAGCTGCATTCCTAACTAGCCATGTTGCTGAAACACTAGCATCTACCTGAGAGTATGGAAAATTTATGAGAGAGTTCTGCGAACAAAAACCAAGACAGAGTGGTGAAGAGTTTTTTTTTTTGATGAGGAGTTGATGAAATATCTGATAGGAAAGGGACAGTATTTGAGGAAAGGAAAGCACTTACTGTGTCATCTAGTATTGGGAAGAGAAGTTGTTCATAGAAATTGGGTCAAGGGTGGAAGGAGATGGATTTCAGAGACCAGGGACTAAATGTACATGCTGGAGCCAGAACCTTGACATCGGGAATGTATCTGGATCCTAGCCCTGCAAGATGCTGACACTCGACGTAGTTATCATTAAGCAGGTCCCAATCACCATGCATTTAAGAACAGTGGGCAGACTGCTGAGGCCACAGGATCAATAGGAGGCTCTGCATCACTGAGTTCAGCAACACCAGCATCAGAAGTGAGCTGCGAATAGAGGATGCCTGAAAGCGACTACTGAAAACATATTAAAAAATGATAATAATCAAGGGCGCCACAGCTACTAGGCTGTTACTTTGGAGAGGGTACTCTTCCACAGTTTGGTCTGCAGCATCAGCTGGAAAGTTGGGGTTGAAAAATGCTACATGGAGTTCTGAACCTTGGATGTGTTGCTGGGATCATCATCAACCGGGATTAAGCCTCAGTACCAGAGGGTGGTGTGGTGGCCTGATTGTTGACTAGAAGGTTTAAGTCAACATCGGCACAGTGACCTTAATAGATAATTTAAGGAGCATAGATGTTTACCCACCACTTATAGGTGGGTATTAGTCAAATCTTCCCACTCACCATACTTCAAAAAGATAGTTTTAACATGCTTCTGAAGTCTGAACGTGCCATAAACTATCACCAGTTGGCAGTGAGAAATTGCAAGTTTGCCCTTTTCATTTCTGCCTAGGCAGACCTTCCTAGGCAGCCCAGTAGGACTCTATGCCCTTCATTTGCATTTCATTAAATAAATGGTGGCAAAAACTGTAGGCAAATTCCTTGATATTAAGTTCCATTTCTTTTTCAACCTAATTGTGAACTCTTTGCAAATTTCTTCCAAGAGTTACCTTAAAGCACTCTTGCAATGAGCTGATCTTTTATCTAGTGAGGGTGAATGGGTTCAGGTGTAGGCAGAGTTCCACACAACACCAAACCAAACAGAGGGGTGACAAATCCAAACTTTGGATTTGCTAATACTCATGCAGTTTGTGCTACTGTGGGTTGCTTCTGGGCCTCTTCATGTCTGTTTCTGTTACATGAGTTTGATGAAGTCTTTGGCTAAATTTGAAATGTTATGATAACCAAAATATTGAACTTCATGTATGTGAAAGTTTCATATTTTACCTGTTGCTCATTTGATTAAGACCCCAAGTACGGATATTAAAAAAAAATGCATAAAAAAGCTGTATCTCAAATATTTTCTGGCAGACCTGAATCATCTGTGCTGTTCTGATCATTGAAGATGCAGGCAACTCCCCATTCCAAAGAGCACAATTTCTGGCATCTCGGGAACAGTGTAAACAGAAATCCCCCTCATAGTCTTGAGGCTTGGAGTGAGTGCGGGAAATCCAGAATCCACTTGGATAGATCAGGAGATTTGTAATTAATAAGAAATATACTTTGAAATATATATTGAGTGATGTAAACTGATCTGTGTGTTTTGTACAATGCTGCAAGCATAAATACAACATTATCATTGACAACTGGAAATTCTCTGGTTTAAAATACTAAGATGATGGGATGGGATACTTATGTGAAATTACCTTAAAAACAGTTTCTGCTCTGAGTATCCTATCATTATCTTTAATTTTTAGCAGTTCAAAATATTCCAAGCAGAAGCTGTACTGCCATACTTTGGGGTTATCCTCTACATTCATTATTTATTGGAAAGGATGTCAGGCAGATGGGGCCAGAAGGAGCGACATGCCCCAAATGTCAGAATTCAATGTAAGAATGTTAACAGTGAAGAATGAGTTATTTTTCTGAATAATTTAACAAGACAAATCTTGTTTTGCGCATACCAGTAATATAATAATAAATTTAAATAGCTAAAAATATTTTCTTTTGGCCTCCCCATTTCGATCTTCTTCCTTTCTGTTTTATTTCTCTTTTATTTTGCAGCTGCTTTTTTCTATTCTCGCTCACATTTGTTTGCTTCTTGCATTGGTGTTTCTTGCCCCAGATTTATGCTTGTTCTTTGTCTTGCTTTCTGATTCCTCTCTGCCCCTCCTCCTGTGGCACTGAATGCTTATTATCCCTGCAGCAGCCTGGACTGTCTCTGATCAGCTCCATTGATTTTTCCTTGCTGCTAATAATGATGAGGCAGGTTTTCTTACCACTAGACTATCCATTGTAAATTGAGTGCATGGGGAAATTTTTGAAATAAAAGCAAGGAATCTGATGGGGGCATAGTATAGAAGGTAGCAATAATGACAAAGATGGCTGGTAAATTGACTGTTAACTTTATAGGTAGCCAAGTTAGTAGATTTATTTTTGAAATGCATGCCTTCAAACAAACCGTAAATTTTAAAGAAAAAATTTAAAAATACATTTGGGATGAAATGAGGCAGAGCATCGCTCCCTTAAGTATCAAATTAAATGGAATGAACTGCCTGTGTGTGGTTAATAGCTAAATTAAAAAGTCTAGGACATTAGCTTCTTGTATCTGATAGGACAAAAAGCAGATGTATCGTGCAAACAAACACAAGTGTATTTTAAATGTTACCAAGACATTCCTGGAATGACTTGAAATCTGTTTTTTCTTCAAAGTAGTATTCTTATATATTGGCAAGTAGTCAAAAACAGGTAAAACTCCTTGAAATCAAAAGCTAGTCGAGCATGATGTGTAAACATTTACAACATATGTCACATCAAACCAAAAATCTATGAGGTTAATCCTTCAAAGAATCATATGGAAATATTAATTCTTGGTTTTACCTTAAGATACTATTTCAGGTGTTGAAATATTTTTGTAAAATGTTTTCGTACAAAATTAAATGATGACTGTCAAAACCTTTATAACTTAAGATGTCTTAAATATTTGGCATCAGAAAATACTTTTACAATGTTCCTCCATTAAACAACAATTTTTAATTTGGGACAGTATTAACTTGTACATCTTGTTTATGGAGAACCTTACACTTGAAGCTATTTCATACTTCAAAAAAATGCAATTTGTAATGCATTTTCTAAGCAGCTTTATTTCTCATTCACACTATTCCCCAATCAACAGTATAAAGGGCTCTGGCAGCGCCATTTTTTAGCTGGTTGCTCATTACAGTGTTCTGGGTGTCCAAAACTCCTAATTACTTATTTTCTTTCTTGTTGCGAAAAAGGTTAACTAAAATGTATTCGGTAATGTCGTGAAACTCTCAGATAAGGAATTCTAAAATTAGGTCCATTTTCTCCATTTTTTTTGTTGATATGGCACCAATTCTTTGCTCAGTTCCATCCTGTTCTGACCTTCAACTGGTCTGTCTCTGACTCCTCCCTTTCCTTCGTCGATCTCTGTTTCCATTACCGTGGATAGGCTGGCCACTAAAATCTACTACAAACCATCCGACTCCCGCAGTTATTTTGACCATATATCCTCACACCCAGCTTCCTATAAAGACTGTATTCCATTCTCCCAGTTCCTTCGTCTTTGTCGTATCTGTTCTGGTCATGCCAACTTTGACAAGAGGGCCTCCAAAATGTCCATCTTCTTCCTCAACTGAGGATTCCCTAGCACAGTAGTTGACAGGGCCCTCAGCCATTTCTGACCCTTCTCCCATACATCAGCCCTCAGTTCCTCTCTCCTTTCCCACAGCAGCGATAGGGTCCCCCTTGTACTCACTCACATCCCACCACATCCACATCTAGATGATCATTAATAGCATTTCCACCATCTTCAGCGAGATGCCACCACCAAATACATATTCCCCTTACCTCCCTTGTCAGCCTTCTGCAAGGACTGTTTCCTTTGGGACACCCTGGTCCATTCTTCCTTCACTTCCAGCACCCCCTCACAGTCCCATGGCACCTGCAGAAGGTGTAACACCTGACTGTTTACTTCCTCACTCTTCAGTATCCAAGGGTCCAAATGTAACTTCTAGGTGAAGCAGCTGCTCACAATGTGGTCTCCTCTACATTGGGGAAACAAAGTGTAGACTGGGTGACTGCTTCACAGAGCATCTACTCTGTCTACAAAAAATTCCTTGAGCTTCCCATTGCCTGCCACTTCAATATACCACTTTGTTCCCTGGCCAATATCTCTGTCTCATGCTTGCTGCAGTACTCAGCAAAGTTCAGCGCACCTTATTTTCCATTTGGGAACCCTGCAGCCTTCTGGACTCAATATTGAGGTCAACAACTTTAGGGCTTGAGCATGTTCCTTATGCTTTCTCCCACCCCCACATACCAGGCTTTGTTACCACATAGTCTACTATTACGCACAACACATTGTCAGCCACTAATAGTCCCCATTAACAGCTATTCATTCTCCTCGGCTGATCATTTGCCACTCCTTTGTCTGTCTAACTGATTTTCTGTCTCTTTGGGGATTACCTCCACCTATCATTTGCGCCTCTTGCTACCCCCTCACCACCACCACTCTACCTTCTGCATAAAAACCAACTTGTTCCTAGCTACCATCAGTTCTGAAGAAGAGTCACTGGACAAGAAATGTTAACTGTTATTTCTCTCCACAGATGCTGCCGGATGTGCTGAGTTTTTCCAGCGATTTCAATTTTTGTTTCTGCTTTCCACCATCTGTGGTTCTTGCAGTTTTTTCATTATGATGGTACCCACGCTTAGACAATCTGCTGGCTTTTACCATCAAGAAGTCCATATGGAAGGAGTCATTGGGATATAAATTGAGAGGACTCCAGGACCCAAGGATTTGTACTCCCACTGTCAACCACTTTCAGGAGAGAATTGAGGAACAGAAGGAAAGCAACAAATATCATAAGACTTTTATAAAAACACTGAAGTGGTGACTGGAACACAAAAGATTAAATTTGTCTTTAACAGGGAATACATTCGGAAGCAGTTGTATGAAATTTACAGCGCAAATGCCTATGGTTCCCTGTTTAAAATCTGCAGTACATTTTTTGGATTTCTAATTTCAAATCTAATTCGAAATTCAATATTAAGTGTGATGTCTGCAATTTGGTCAATTTAAAAGTAGGTCCATCAATAAGTTCAAATCTGCAAAAGTTTTTGCGAGAATAAAGCTACAAATAAAATAATTTTTCTACGAGGTTCAGTATGATGCTTATCATTGTACTAATGGTTCTACCGACATAGAATTACTCAGCACTTCACAATTTATCATTTGGCAGCTGAAGTTTTAAGTTACTGTTGGCCTGATTTAGTACAATATTAAATACTTAGTGAATATCTTTTATGAATATCAAGGCATTGAAGCATACTGACACAAATGTCCAAAACCAAATTTGGAATGACACAAAATGCATGAACCACCATCAGTCTATCTGTTTGAGGCTGAATAGTGAGTTAAAAAAGCTAATCAGATCCAAGATGTCAAGCTTTTTTGTACAAGATTAGATTATTTCAGTATTACATAACATCCCACTCAATAGCTAATTTTGGGCTATCAGACATCTTGGACCAATTTAACGGGGGATCCTGACTAGTGGAACACTCTCACATGACACAGCTAATTTTCCTTTATCTATCACATATTCTTGATACATTTTTCTGCAAAAGGCAATCATTAAAGTAATTCCCTATGGCAATTCTAAAGCTATCTCATCTAAGACGATGGCAAAAAAAACTGAAAACATGCATTACGATCTATCAATCATTTTGACCAATTTTAATTTCCGTAAGCGATATCAGTATTTAAAAAGGGTGTCTAAGGATTACTTCTTTAGCTTTTCAGCATTGGGTCTGATTGTTCATCCCAGTGATGATTGTGAAAATGGTGCCATAGCACCCTCCACGTTACTTAATTGCAGTTAACCTTAACATACACACAATCATTAACATAAGATTACACATTTGTGTGCAAGTCCAGAATTAAGGAGGTATCACTGTGCAAATGAGAGCTACAGAATGGAATGCAAACCATTGGAGTTTAGGTTGATAATTGTTCCATACACTTCTAGGTAATATGCCAGCTGAAGTAGTGATTAAATAACTGAGTCCTTGTATTTATGTTCAAGCTATTTGCCTCAAAGTACAATTAGTTCTGTTTTCTCTACATTTATTAAAAGATTTGTTGATAGTAAATTTTTGTTGATGTTTTTCTTTAGCTTCAGATAGTAAAGTCCTGACATGTGCTGCTATATGGCGCATACCAAAGGAACTGGAAACGGGCAGTCATGAATCTCCTGATGATTCATCAAGCAACCCACAAACCCTGGAGCTGCTTTGTCACCTTGACAACACAACCTATGGCAACATGTCTTGGTAGGTTGTACAGCATTGATTTAAAAGATTTCAAATACATCATTCACAATGGCACTGAGTTTTTTTCCTGTTTAATTTTAGCATTAAAACAATAAACATGCAAGTGTTTATTCAGTGATGATTAAAATGCCATTACTAACGTTTGTATACCTTTCACTGTTAAACAAGGAGATTTTATTATATTGCTAGTAATTTTTCAGTTTTCTACTTAGAA